GATGGTAGTCCCCACTCTGCACAGCAGCTTAGTCTTGGAAAGTACCTCATGGCGGGAAACAGAGAATCCCCTTCCCTTTCCCTTCTTCCCATGAGCTCTGGTATCTCATCTGAAGTTACCTTTCCACTCTTAAATGACAGGTCTCCCTCCCTTCCTCTTTCACAGAGGAGGCAAATTGTGAACAGGTTTGCCAAAGTCTAAAGCAACAAAGCTTTTAAAAGCTTTTAATGCACTAACTCACTTTGCAAAGAGAAGACAGTAGTGAGATTTTGCATTTATATCATTTTAATACTTTCAAAATGCTTTTACATGATGGTCTCAGTTGATCTCAAGATTTTAAGGCAGGCCAGATACATACAAATGATACAAATGATAACTAATGCTTATTGAGTATCTAGTATGTGCCAGGTTCTTTGCTAAATGTTGGACAGGCAAGTATTAGTATCATCACAATTTTGCGTGTAAAGAAACAACTGGAGTTTGGGAATAGCTTGCCAGGTCTTTAGTTGGTGGGACTTGAGGGCAGAATCTGAACTAGGGAAGTCAATCTCTAGAATTAAAGTTTTCAAGGGAAAAATGATAAGAGATGGCTAGGCAATTAGGTGGCAATGAAGCGGGGACAAGGAGATGCCATAGGATGAAGGAAACTTAAGAATAAAAAGATAATTTATGACTTGAAAACTTGTAGTACTAAGTTTAAAAGAGCAGTGATGCAATCTGTAAACAGGGCATTTATCTTTTTGACTCTGTTCATATTTTTAGTCCTGATTTTGCTGCTTTTGGCCTTTCCTTGAAAACCTTATCTTCTTAGTAGTGTGCGTGTCTACTGTGGTTAGTTTTATAGAGAAGTTACAAGCTAAAGGGCAACGAAGATGGGAGGTTTTTGCCTTTGAGATGGACTTGCTACTTCCTTTGCCTTCTTTCCAATCTGAAAAATCCTCCTGCTTTTAGAGAGTCCAGTGCCTGACTTCCACTTGGAAGGTTAAACTTTCCAGCTTGGGAAAGATTGGGTTTAAAAATAAAATAAAAAGATTGGGTTTTGTTGTTAGAAAGCCCCAAATTCAAATCCTGAAGTTGAGAGGGCTTAGATTTCATCCGAACTTTTGCCCACATAGACAAGCAGGGCTTGTCCCAGGGGGTTTGTGACGATTAGAGACAACCTATGTACATTGCCCAGCACACAGTAGATGCTGAGATCCAGAGCAACAACTGAGAAGAAGGGAGAAGGGTTTGCTGGTTGCCCATTTACCTTTATCCTGGGACCCTTCTCTACTCTTCATGTGAGGGTTGTGGGGACAAGTGTGTGTGCGTGGGGTGGGGGGGCTAAGAGCTGAACAGGATGCTGTGGGGCTGGCAGACCCCTTAAGGGACTGTGAGTGAGCTCAATTTGGTTAAAACACCTGGGAAGCTGTCATATTTTAAGGCTGGAAGTTCATATAAGGGATGAAATTGAAGAGAGGGTAAAAAGCAGCACAGCCAGTGTTGACGTTGGTAAAGGTGAGTTCTCTGACTCCAGGTGCGGTTTGCCCAGAATAAGGGCATTCATGGAAGCGGAGCTGAATGAAGCTTGATAATGATGGTGATCACCCTTGTCCCTGTCCTCCTGACTCAGAGTGTCAGATTCGGCATTCTTCAGAACAACTTCTGGCTCCAATCAGATTCCCTCCTCTGACTCTCAGCAAGCCTGCCCTCCCCTCTGCAAATGTTCCACCTCTATACAAATAATGTTGAATAGAGTCCTTTCAAGAAACTGCTATTTATGTTGAATCACCATTTAGCAAAATAAAGAACATGTAGATTATTGCAGTGTCAGAGTGACCGTTGTCAATTGTATATTAATTATTGCTCACCTAGCCTGGCCCCCTGTTCCAATTCTTGGTGAGCTAATGCATACCAAACATGTTCCTTTATTTCAAGGATGGCCAGGCAAGAGCGTGGCTCAGGGGAAGAATCTCAAATCATATTATCTTAGAAAATGAAGGACCACAGACAAATCATGTTTTTCCCATCTCAGATTTGCTGTGTGTGAAATGGGCACAGCTTCTCTATTCCCAGGGGTCATATTTAGTGTGTAAAAGAAAATATTTGAAAGTGCTCTGTGAACCTAGGGTCTTGTGTAGACTACAAATCAGTGTTTTTCTTATTCCAATCCACGTGTTACTGTACGAAAGAAGCTAGCGTTGACAAATCCATTGTCAGAATCTTAACCTATAGCTCTTCTGTTCAGCACAGCTGTGCCGGGCGAAAGCTCCAAGGTCTATTTCAGGTCAGCTCTGGGAAGAACGCAAAGTGAGGCTGGAGAAGCAAAAACAAAAAGGCAGATTACCATAGAATCCATGTTAGGCTTGAGATGCTGGTCATGGCTCTTCTGTTCTGATTGTGTTGATTTCCAGGAATCCTACAGCTGGTAGAGACAGCAGCTATTTTCCCCCAAACTACTGAAGGCTTGTTTTCAAAATGATGTTCTTTTTGCGTTCACAGCTGAATAAGGAAGTCATCCATTTTCCTAAAAACACCACTGTCACCATATTACTCTTCTTCAGAAAAGCCTTCAGTGATTATCTATTAACTAGAAATAGACATTGGAGTGTGATACAGACACCACTCCATCTCCCTACCTCTGGGTCACCAATACCAGCACCACCTTATTTATCCCCTCTGTCTCCCATGAAGCCACAGGGCCCAGCTAGGTTGGTTCCCTTCAGGTTCCCCAAGTAACTGCCCCTTCCTGCTAAGGCCAGTTGCTCATCTCCCATCCTGAAATAACGAGTTCTGCTGCCCTCTGTTTCTCATGTGTTGTCTTTGTCCTATGTGAGTCTTAGAGTCTAGCTTAAATCTCTTCCTTCCTGATGTTTTCCCCACCACAGGTCTCCCCTGCACTTGTGCAGACCCTGTCCCCTGCTCGGCTGTCACAGGCACATCCTCATTGACAGCCCAACTTGGGAGATGGCTCAGGTCATTTCTGGGGACCAGAGCCTGTCCTGAGCAGCATTCTGCTGTCTCTTCATGGACATGAGAAAAGTGAGAAAAGTGGGTGCAGGTGCCCATCATAAGCCTCAACAGGCTATCTTATGTAGGCTGTGTCCAGAAAGTGAGGCAGGACCCAGAACCAATGGCGTTGGCCATTGAGACAGCCCACCCAGCTGCTCTGTGATGGGTGTCGAGAGTAATTCAGTCAAAATAAAGGCAGCTCCACCTGAGAACTCCAGCTTGAACCCCTTTCTCCTTGGCTCTTGTAATAAGGAGAAAGAGGGAGAGAGAGTCATACACTGACACTGACATAGCAGGGTATGTGCCAGGCACGGTGCCAAGCGCTGGATGTGGATTATGTCATTGAATTCTTGCAAGGACCTGATGAGGTTAGCACTATTATAATCTCCACTTGTAGCTGAGGGAACACAAACTCAATGAGGGTAAATAACTTGTCCAATGTCTAAGTAGGTAGTAAAGTTTGATTTGAACCAAGTCATATCTGAGTCCAAAGCCTAGGTTTTTTTTGTGTTTTTTTAAATCTAGTCTATATCAGTGTTTCTCAAAGTATGGTGCTCAGAGCAGTAGCATCAGCATCTCCTGGAAATTTATTAGAAAGATAAGTCCTTGGGCCCCACCCAAGTCCTACTGAATCAGAAACTCCTGCTGACATCGCTCTGAGCTGTCACAGGTCTTCCTCGTGGCGTATGCTCAAGTTTGAATACTCCTGCTCTATACTACGCTTCCCAGGAGAAGATCCCCTATAATCTGCCTAGAAACCATATTGACATAGGAACATTACAAGATTGCCAATTACGTGTGGCCCTCTGTGCCAAAGACCTACCTGACATTCCTGTGCCACCTGGTTCCTCATCGAGGCAGACCTGGAGTATGTCTGTGTATTTGGAAGGTAAGAGGAGGGAGTTTTTAAAAAGAAAAAAGAAAAACTTGTAATTCCTTCAAGTCTTTCTTGATAAAATTTGTCACAGTCTGATAATTTTTGTTTCATTTGCTCTATGCTTACGTTGACCTGTGCTGCCAGTATCCACTGGTTAGTGTATTTTTGGTCATTAATTCCATCATTTATTCAACGAACATCTGTTGGTTGCCAAGGAGGTGACAGGCACAACACGAGGGGCTTGTGCTTGAACAGTGAGTTAGAGACAAACCCAATTGACCTTCTTAGAGTCTACAGTAAACAGGCCATCACCAAGAAGCATGAAAAATTGCTCTTTAGGATGAGATGAGGCACTTGGGGGAAACAGAGGGAGGCCCCTCTGCCATATTTGCAGTGAGGAAGGCTTCTTGAGGATGGGAGGGTGCAGCTGAAGACCTAAGGAATAAGCAGACATTAGTCTAGTGCAGGGAGTGGAATGGTGGTCAGTGATATGGAAGTGTGCTCCAGCCAGGAGATCCACGTGTAGGAAGACCTGGTGAAGATGGCGATCCAGCATGGAAAGGACTGATGCAAGTGCAGAGTGGCCAAAGCTCTGAGGGTAAGGTAGGGCGTGAAGGGAGATGAGGCAGGAGAGAAAGGCGGAAGACAGACCTGACTAGCCTTATAGGCCTTGTTGTACAGGTTGAAATTTATCATTAGGGAAATGGGAAAACATTTTTAAAAGAAAGTGGTGTGCAAAAATATAAGTAAGTTCGCTCCGGTACAAATATGGCCTCATTTTAATATGATTGTGTGAAAAAACATATCCTACTAAGTTCACTTCAGTACAAATATGGCCTCATTTTAATATGATTTCTTTATTGTTGTTGCATGTGTTATCACTGTTGATGGACTGTGAGCTCCTTGGGAGTTGTCCTTCATCTTTTTCTCCACTCTCTACCCCATTGTCTGTGCAGTATCCACCCCACATTTTACACAGGCCAAGTAAGAACTCAGACTTCATCTGTGGGCTCCCAACCAGTCAGGCAGTGTGGTGGTTCATTTGCATTGCTTTTATTACCCACAAACCGAAGTAGGTCGTCTCCCAGAGATCTGGTCTGCCTTCAGCATTGTCTCCTGCTCTTGGCTTCAGGGTGCCTGTCCTTGTTGGTGACGGTCCAGCACACAGAGCGCTATGTCACCCTGTTTGCCTCTGTCATCCTCAAATGTGACTACACCACCTCCGCCCAGCTCCAGGACGTGGTAGTGACCTGGCGCTTCAAGTCCTTCTGCAAGGACCCCATCTTTGACTACTACTCTGCGTGTGAGTGCCCTCCCCTTCTGGCTCTGCCCAGGCTGCTTTGCGAAGTATTGCCATTAGGGGGTAGGAATCATTAAAGATCACAAATCCTCATAAGTGGGAAGAAGCCACAAAGAGCACTTAATCCAGTCCCCTCATTTTATAGATACACAAGCTGATCCCAGGCAGATGAAGTAACTTATTGAAGGTCACATACTATTTTATTTATTTTAAAATGTATGTCCCACTTTGTTCTAAAAAGATTCAAGGAAGCTCAGACATTAAGGAAAAGGCAGAGGAAGTTCTGCCTCCCAGTCCATGCCAGGGCACTGAAATGAGGGTGCGGGTCTGCTGCTCTTCACCCCCACCCTTAGAATGCTGACGAGAAGACTCCTGCACTTCCCAGGATGCATGAGGAATGGTCATTTGTGAACCTTTTGGCCACTGCCCTGTTCGATTCTACAGCCAGCCTTCCTAGTGGACAGTCACTCCCCTGCTGACTAAACAGCCACTGATGCAGAGCTCGTGGCCCCCAGGGAGCACACTTGTTTGACATCTCTGAGATGCACAGCTCCCTCTATGTTTAACCAAATCCTGCCTCTTAAGTAACAATTGCCCCACTCATGTCAGTTCTGCTCTCTGGAACCAAAGCTCTTCCTAGCTGCCCACCTTTGCCTCTCTCAAGGGACAAAGGAACCCAGATACCCAGTGTCAGCCCAGGACCGTTAACTTTGTAGAATTTTTGAACAGATGCAGACACCCTGTTTGTAGGAAGGAAGTGAGCTTCTTGAGGTGAGGAAAGGAGGGGGAGGCATCTGCTTTACCTCTTTTAGTTTTACTAATATGAGCCCCCAAACCTAACTGAGTCACCCACAGAGCCTGATGTTGTCCCCAAAAGACCCCTCCCTCTCTAAATTGAGGTATTGTTTCCTGGGGGTTACTCTTAAAATGCCTGGCTTAACTGGGGAGGTAGGAGACACTCGGGCAGTAGCATCTCTTACCCCAGAAGATTTAACAGCTCTCAAACTTTGTATTTTAAGGGCAGGTGAATGAGCCTTATGGGAGCAGAGTCTGGGGCGACTGAAAATAAGAGAAGTTGAGATGGGGGATGCAGCCAGGATTTGGAAATGATGGCCTATTGGGGGTGAGGGGGTCTGGAGTCTCATGGCTGCAAGAGTAGTTCATTGGTATCCCTTGGGAGCTCATTAGAAATGCAGAATCTCTGCTGCTCACCCCAGACCTACAGAATCAGAATCTTCATGTTAGCGACGTGCCCTGGGGATGCAGAAGTTCACAGTAAGGGCACCTTTCTTGCTGGGAATTCCCCACTGCTGTGTGACTTGGTTGTGTCTTCTTTCCTCAGCGTACCAGGCAGCTTTATCCCTGGGCCAGGACCCTTCCAATGACTGCAACGATAGCCAGCGAGAGGTCCGCATCGTGGCCCAGAGGCGGGGGCAGAATGAGCCCGTACTGGGGGCGGATTACCGGCAGCGCAAGATCACCATCCAGAACCGTGAGTGTGGGGGCGGCGGCAGGGGCTGAAGGTGCAGAAGTGCAGACACCAGGCTGAGTCATTGTGGGGATTTCCCTTTTTCTCTGCTGCCTGATGGTCTGCTTGGTCTCTGCCATTGTTTGAGGAAAATGCCAGATACACAGAATGTTCCACATCATCTGAAGTCACTTCCCTGGAAGTTGGTCTCTGGATGAGCTTTGCCTAAAGGTCTAGGAGGGGATGGTTTCCTTTGTTTCCCAGAGATTCAGGGCTAAGTTGTGGATCGGGCTTCTTTGATCCCTTCCATGAACTGCTCTCAGGGCCTGCTGGAACCCCAGGCTCCTGAGTTTCCCTCTGGCCACGCCTGTTACATATACCTAAGGAAATAGAGCCTCCCAAGTAGATGGCCACCTTGAGACCAGCACCCGTCATTGGTACAGCAAAGACCATTGGGCTTAGAATTCAAAACACCTGGCTGAGTATCCCATTACTTCCACTTGCTGGCTCAGTGACCCGTGACAGTTGTTTTCTCTAGCTGCCTCATCTGAAAGATGGGCGTAATGGTCTGTCTCCCCACACTGAAGGGAGTGTCAAATGTGATATCTGAGAACTGTGTTTAAAGCATATCTGTTCTTTGTGGTGATTAGACTCAGGTGTGAGTCCCCGTTCTGCCCTTACAGGGTATGTGAACTTGGGCAAGTCCCTTCAACTTTTTTGCCTCAGTTTCTAGAATGTGAAACTTGCCACAGTACCTGGGGAGTTGTCAGGATTAAGTGAGGTGATATGTAGAAAGCACTTAGCAATCAGAAAGTGTGCAGTGAACTTTAGTTACGATCACTTGGCATACTTTTGGGTGGATGGGTTAGCACCCCCACATCCCTATCTTGTAATCCAGGATTAGTGTGATGGGTTATTGGCACAAAATCCGGAGCTTATTTCAATGAGCTTTGTGTGCTGTGATAAATAAACATTTGCTGGTTCGAAAGAATAAAAGGGTAGGGGAGTATGTTCAAGAGGGCCACCCAGGATACCCATAGCAACAATGTGAAAAAAATCCGTTAATATTCTATGACCATTTAAAGGTAGATCATTAAAAGGGAGCCAGTTCAACAATTGCTTCCAACTCTGCTTCTAGTACTTTGGCTATAATACTTACCTCTTATCCTTTTACATTCAATCTCTGATCTCCCCAAGCAGTGTTTGAACTCTGGGCCTTAAGGTACATCTGCCTTTCTTTTCCAGTCTTCAGGGGCATTCTCAAAGATTCAGAGTGGTTCCACTTTCTCCAGAGCCAACAGAATTAGCTCTGATATGACTCCAAAGTGTAAAGTTTCTTTAATTAAGTCTCCTATAATTTTTGAAGGTTGAAAGTTCCCATAGGTGATAGTCCCTGCTTCTCTGTCTTTTTTTCTAATTTAAGCAGAGCTGTTGCTACCTCCACTTCCAGCCAGCCACTTTGGATCAGACTCTGCTGTGTGTTACTCCCATGGGAAAGTGGTATTTCCCTTTGGTTTTTATTTCGACCTCTGGGCTTGTGACATCTGGAGCCCTTGTTTTCTGATACTTTCATGCCCATGTCTACATCATTAGATATGACCCTGTCAAAACAGTTCTTGGATCATTTGAAATGTTAACATATTTGAAAGCCCTCATTACTCTGACAGCCCTAAAATAATCTTTGTCTTTAATAAAAAAAAAAATTGGGGCAGATTTATAATACACATTAATCTTTAAGGGAGAATTTCCCCAAAGCCTTTTCACCACTCTTCAAAGTCTGTAGTAAGCTTGTTTCTAGGAAAGGTAGTGGGTTTGGAAAATCACGGGTAGGAAAAAAATCATAGGGATTGACATAAAAAGAGGAGGAAACAGAAGTCAAAGTTAGCTCCAGTGTTGTTTGACCTCACATTTTTGTTTCATTTCCTCAAAAAATATTTCTTGAGAAACAAATAATAAAGAATTGCAGATATACAGATGGTTATTAGACTTATTGTGGTGATCACTTCATATGGTGTATAAATGTTGAGTCACTATGTCATATACCTGAAACTAATACAATTTTGTATGCCAACTATCCTTTAATAAAAAAATTTTTAAAAAAGAAAGAATTGCAGATATGACTATCAACTAAGCAGGAGCAAGTCTGTAATGCTAATGTCTTTAAGAATTTGAAGATGTCCCCTGGCACTCACTGTGGCTAAAATAGTGAGGACCTGGAGGCTGCCCTGATGCCTCTGACTGAACTTTAAGCACTTTTAGGACAGAGGTGTGTCTTATTTCTCTTCAGATCTCCCACATTTCCTCTTGAGATCATCCACAGTATCTGACATAGTGCTGGACCCACAAAAGGTCTTTAGAGAGTATGTGTTGCATTTGCTAATCTTGAACATACCATTCATCTATCTTAGTGTAGTAGCACAGCCCTTGGTGCTCACGAGAACTAAAATTCTTTTTTTTTTTTTAAGTAACATTTACTCTTAAAATATTGGCATTTCACCCCTGATTATTCAGGTTCATCTCATAACCTATCCCTTCAAGATCCAGAGGTACCTGTTCACAGCTGGCAAGGGATCCAGGCTGTGGTGTTTTTCCCTAGTTCAGAGAGGATGTTAGAGCTTAGTGGTTAAGAGCACCAGTGGTGAAGGAGGGACACGTGAATTTGAACCTACCCCTGCTAAGCCTCTTGGTTTTCTTATCTGAAATGCAGCTAATAATCATACCCACTGTATTAGGATTACTTTTGCGAGTACGCAGAAGCCCAAAACGTTAGTGACTTAAACAATAAAGTTTATTTCTTCTCATGTATAAATTTGAAAGTAGACAGTCCAGAACTAGTGTAGTGTGGCTCTCTTCCATTAAGTCCTCAGGGACCCAAGCTCCTTCCAACTCACTAAGAATAGCATCTTTCTCATGGTCCATGATGGCAACCGTCATATTTGCTTTCCAGATAACAGTAGAAGAATAAATGAAGAACAACCCTCGCTGATGTTTCTCAGTGGTTAGAGCATTGTCCCATGCACTGAAGGGTTGCAAATTTCATTCCCAGTCAGGTCTCATACCCAGGGTGCAGGTTCAGTCCTGGTCGGGGAGTGCGCAGGAGGCAACTGATCTATGTTTCTCTCTCACATCAGAGCTTCTCTCTCTCCCTCCCTCTCCCGTCCTCTCTAGAATCAATAAAAAAGAACAGAAAAAACAAAACATATCCTCAGGTGAGGATTAAAAAAAAAGAAATGAAGAGCAAATGGGTAAAGGTGTTCCCAGACTGTTTTTTATTTAGTTAATTCTCACCTGAGGATATTTTTTCCATT